CCCGCGGGTTCCTCGTGTGAGCCTTCCGTGACCTTTCCCCGAGATCCCTCTCTGGTCTATCACGTGGCCTGCTGCTGTCGTGAGGGCTGCTGTAAGCTGCAGATCCCCTTCCCCGCCAGCAGCCAGCACTATCCTGCTACATGACCAATTCTATGTCACTACACACGCACACACACACACACATCCAGTCTTATGCCCTGACTCAATTCAACAATTTTCTTCCATTTATGTTACAGGTACAGAAGATAATAGCCCTACCAGTTCCAGACACGGGGCTTCTGGGAATGTTTGGAGGAGCTCCCATTGCATGAAAAACGTTAAACTAAAGCGGCGGAACGACTCGCAACACGAGAAGCGGTCGACTGGGATGTCAGAAAAAAAAAAGAGCTGTCATCTAAATTAGCGATGCTCACATGCACACGTGATTAACTGTTTCCTAATGCAGAAATACAATCTGCAATGTACATGCATATATGATTGCATGTATAATTCCATGTATGTATGCATATATACGTTTCAAATAGAGGGCTGATTCTGTGGCTAGAGAGCTCCATTCACACTCCTATCGGAGAGATGGAATCTCATTTGAAGGTCAAATCAACGCGCTATCGTTTTAGTGGGCTTGTGAATATGAGTAACATTTTTTGGAAAGCCAGCAGCGGATCTACTTTCCAGGGACTGGTACCAGCATATTGGGATGTGTAATTTCTTCCTCTGGCATGCCGCGGCATTCTAATGTTTTGTTATTTTTTGTGGTTGATTAAAGCCCTAAACTTTTACATTTTCACATATTAACACTAGCAACTATTCGGACCAAACCAATCAGACGTTTGTTAACTCGCAATGCCACACAGATCTTTTGAAAAAGACTTGTTGACTTTGCCAGGCTCTCTCCTTTACATGGGTTAACACCAGCCTTCTGTAATTACATTGTAAGTTGATTATTTCTGCCTGGCCATCAATGACCACGCCAATAACTCGTCACTTAAAAGGGACAGTACATAAAGTAAATTGTTGGAGCATTTTGTCCTTGTGTGTGTGTGTGGATTTTATCCGAGCAAAACAATAGCTAACAAATTGGCCAATCAATCTAACATGGACTGTCGTGAAAATTATGGTCTTACTTGAGAATCGGTGAAGCATTCATGACTAAATGGCAATCAGTGTTAACAGTATTTTTGGCGCCCCCTATCATGAACCCCCACATGTTTAATTGTTGCTGCGGTCAATATAAAGGGTGTTCATTGTTTCGGCCAGCATTACCGTGGTAAACGAAGCAATAAAATAAAATATATTTAAGATTTAAATTCATTTCACTGGTTGTCTAATGTCTTTCGATCCCTCGTGAAAAGCGCGCGTTGTTGTGTAAATGTGCTTGCACCAGGCAATATTGGCAGAGCGCCCACCAGCATTCATAAGGTACACAAACGAATACAGTAAATACTAGGGATACAGTGTGTATTTCCTTCTGGATTTGAAGCTTTCGTGACTGCAAGGATTCATACTCTTAGTTCTTTCGGTAAAGTCACGTAGGTAATAAATGAAATTAAAATTAATAAAAAATAAAATAAAAATCACGACGTTTCGGAGGCAACACAAGTCTCCGTCATCAGGTGGGACCGTCACAGCCAGATTTGCTGCATCACTTGATATCAAGTGATGTTGCCCCCGAAACATGATTTTATTTTTAATTTAATTAATTTTTTTACCTACGTGACTTTACCGAAAGAACTAAGAGTATATACAGCGTGTAGGTTGTTGCGATTTGTGCTCTATCCCTCCGTGATGTGTTTTCGGGTTGTACCGTGCGTTCGGCATGATGTCCGACGTTTTGCTCCACACGCTTTGATCTTCCTGAGGCCTCCACTCGAGCGAACTCTAAAGGGCATTTGGTCTTCTCTTCCACATTGGCCGGATGCGTTGTAAGAGGTGCGCGTGCCCGCACTTTTTACCCCACCACACGCCATCCGCCGATCGACTAGACTGCAGCATTCCCATTAATACTGCTGGCTTGACAGGTGGGGTCAGAGAGGGAGGGGCACTTGAAAACCAGCACGGTTTTAATGGCCACGTTGGGTTATAGAATCGAACCAGTGACCTCTCGAGATCGATTTCTCAGCTAACGTCAGTGGCGAGTGACGTAAGCACCGGTCCTGGGACTCCCATAGGTCAGCTTAACCTGAAATGTCAGTGTAAAACATCAGCACCGGGGAGACACAGGTGGCTGGGCATGGTAGTGGCCACACCGCAGCCTCATGGACAATTCTGCCCTCATGTGGTGCCAGTTAACAGTCCTTGCTCCAACAATCTGTGAAGGCTGCACGGATCGGGGTCGTTGTGTGTGTATGTGGGTGGATGCGCAGGTGGTTAGCGCGCTGCGCTACGAACCCGGCGACCCGAGTTCGATTCCCGCTCACGACCAACCCCGGTGACGATTGCCTGAACCGGTCCTAGGCCTCCCCTAGGTCGACTCAGCCTCAACTGAGTTCCTGGTGCAACGTGTAAAACATCATCACGAGGGAGACAAAACCGGCTGGGCGTGGTCCACTTGCAGCACTTGCCTCTACAGTCCGTTATCGGCTATACGGGGGATCTTTATCTTTGTATGCGCATGTTGCCCATTTCCATTCCCCAGGCAGCTAGGTTCGATCTGTGGATGCGGCACGCACGCCCAATGCATCAGCCCGAGGTCCATGTCCTACGTAAGTGGGTGTCCACGTGGGTACTAATGTATACACGTGTGTACTAATGTATACACGTGTGTAGTGACATCGCGGGATGTCACTGTGCAGTGCCGGCCTTAGAGGGGCCCGGTGAGCGCTAATTAATAGCGCTGGATGGCATCGCGCTTGGCGTGCAGTGCCAACCCCTACAGGACAGGGTGTGTGGGTGCCCGACGAAGGATGAGGTTACTCGAGGCCATGGCTAGGGGTGGTCGCGTGACTGGGACCGAGATCTTTCCCGAGGATTCTAGAAGGTGGACGTGGTCAAGGTGGGAGCCGGCCACGCCGCAGAGAATATAAGCCGGGTCCCCAGAGGCATCGGCATTGTTGTTCATCCTGAAGAAACCTTCGTCAACGTTCTACGAGTCTCCAACACGTGGACCCGGACCCAAGCTGTTGGTCCCGGTCCGTAGTAGCAGTTACGTTGTAACTAGTGTAATTAGCCTGCTGGTCACCACCAGGATAACTACACCAGTCACGTGGTAACTAGTGTAGTGAGCCTGGTGGTCACCACGTGGCTAGCTACACCAGTCACGTGGTAACTAGTGTAGTTAGCCTGGTGGTCACCACGTGGCTAGCTACACCAGTCACGTGGTAACTAGTGTAGTTAGCCTGGTGGTCACCACGTGGCTAGCTACACCAGTCACGTGGTAACTAGTGTAGCTAGCCTGGTGGTCACCACGTGGCTAACTACACCAGTCACGTGGTAACTAGTGTAGTGAGCCTGGTGGTCACCACGTGGCTAGCTACACCAGTCACGTGGTAACTAGTGTAGTTAGCCTGGTGGTCACCACGTGGCTAGCTACACCAGTCACGTGGTAACTGGTGTAGTTAGCCTGGTGGTCACCACCAGGTTAACTACACCAGTCACGTGGTAACTAGTGTAGTTAGCCTGGTGGTCACCACCATAGGTTGTTATTCTGTTTAGGGGAAATTACCCCGTGTGTTGTCTCCAAGTCTACGTCTGCGACTCGGTTGAACCCATTACACACGTACACATTGGGAGCCGTGGTGCAGTGGCGAGTGCACTGCACGACGAAACGTCCGGACAAAAAACTGAGTTTGATTTCTGACCACGGCGAACATGAGTGACGGTCCTGAGCCTCCCCTAGGTAAACTCAGCCTTAAACGAGTACCTTGGTAAGGTGTGGACATCACCCGCCGGGGGGAGGAACTGAGGCCGGGTGCTTTGCTGCGATATTTCCCGATTGAAGGCGACGCCTGCTGATGCGCCTCCATGAGCTCGAATTCAGGAGCAAGGTCGCGATATTGAAACAAATAACTCGAGGGGCAAACATCGATCTGGACGCCACAAGTAGGCCAATGGATTTGTTTTCTCATTCACTATTCACACACACACATCCCGCTTTGTTCCATTATCTCCACACACACACAAACACAAAGATCCCCCGTATAGCCTTAACAGACTGTTTGCGGCAAGTGCCGTGACGTTCTGCAACCCGCTGTTTACCTGCGACTTTAATTGATCATTTTGATCTCGGTCCGCCTTTAACAACTACATACTGTGCGCACTCCCTCGTGTTTTCCAGTTCTCTCTCCAGTTGTGTCTCTTTGGCCTGTGAACTTCATTTCGTCAAGGAGCATGAACCATCACACGAAGCTCCGGTCATCCTCGCAGCGCCTTTTGGCTGGCCATCGAACAAAGACGGTCACTCCATCGCGCACTTTCTTCCAGATGCGCTTCTGCGGCCGTCTGGAACGCAGTTCCTTCCGATATTAGGAAGCCACTGGAGCTAAGCGCTTTTAAATATAGGTTGAAAACTCACTTCTTTAGAACTGCTTTTTGCGGTTAGCGCGGTTGGCTACGTACGGTGCGAAAGAAGTGCAATATATGCATTGCCTATACCAGGGGTCGGGAACCTTTTTGACTGGGAGAGCCATAAAAGCCAAATATTTCTAAATATCTTTCATTGAGAGCCATATAGTATTTTTAACGTATAATAAATTAAATATGTCTTACTTTTAATGCGACTTCTGGTCACGGGACCCGTGACCCGTGAAATTTATCTTCAAAACTAATTTCTGTTTACCTTAAAAAGACACAGTATTATTAAGCAATATCACAAGTATTTTAAAATCAGTTCCAAACTGATTTTTTATTATTTTTATTTTTTTCAACTCAAAATTGTCTGGGAGCCATATGCCGTCACCGGAAGAGCCATATATGGCTCGCGAGCCATAGGTTCCCGACCGCTGGCCTATACTGTGGGTTTCTCAGAGTTTTTCGTTAAGTCGTTATGTATAACGTCCTGTGGTACATTTCTATTGGTGATCGTATTGTCCGCAGGTCTGAGATTGTTTCGTACTCTCTCCGTTTATCTGTGTGCAATTATTTTCTCCAATCCAATTTTGGATTGGAAATGTTTGCACACTATTGCTGTGAATAGCCTCGATTTTAGCATATTTATTCTACCCTCTATTCACCCGTCTCTTCTTTTGATCTGTGTGTTCGTTACTTTCTGCAAGCTCTCTCGGTGAAGCTATACTATCTAAATGCTGTATATAGTTTTAACCATTTGTTTTCATATACTGTACAGGGTTCCCTCGCTTCACGCGGTTTCAGTTAGTGCGATTTTCACGTATTTGCGGCTAACCTCGTTCTATCCGTTAGTTGTTATATACTATGCGGTTTGAATTCGCTCACATGCGGCTATGTGGTCGGACATTGTGTGTGTACTGTGTGTGCTGCGGTGTGTGCGTGTACTATGTGTACTGTGTGTACTGTGTGCTGTGTTGTGTGTGTGTACTGTGTGTGCTGTGGTGTGCGTGTGTGTACTGTGTGTGTACTGTGTGTGTGTACTGTGTGTGTACTGTGTGTGTGTACTATGATGTGTGTACTGTGTGTACTGTGTGTGCACTGTGTGTACTGTGGTGTGTGTACTGTGTGTGCACTGTGTGTGTACTGTTGTGTGTGTGTACTGTGTGCTGTGGTGTGTGCGTGTACTGTGTGCTGTGTTGTGTGTGTGTACTGTGTTCTGTGGTGTGCATGTGTGTACTGTGTGTGTACTGTGTGTGCTGTGTGTACACTGTGTGTACTGTGTGTGCAATGTGTGTACTGTGGTGTGTGTGCACTGTGTGTGCTGTGGTGTGTGTGTACTTCTAGCGGGGAGCGGTAGTGAAGTGGTTAGCGCGCTGCGCTACAAACCTGGCGTCCTGGGTTAAATTCCCGCTCACGGCCAACACCAGTGACGATGATTTTACCCGGTCTTGGGTCTCCCCTAGGTTGACTCAGCTTCAAATGAGTACCTGGTGTAATGTGTAAACTTCGCCACTAGGGAGACAAAGGCGGCCGGGCGTGGTGTTGGCCACTCACCTCCTCATGTGCCGTGCCGGCCTTGATAGATGCTCGCTAACAGCACTTGCCCCGACAGTCTGTTCAGGCTACACGGGGAATCTTTTTGTGTACTACTAATCAGGCAGCTGTCTCCTCGTGCGGTTTCGCTTTGTGCGCCCTTTTTTGGAACGCATCTACTACCGCACAGAGTGATGGGACCTCTTCCAATACCTTCCCCCCTTTCAGGGCACGTGAATTCGTGCAAACTGATGAAGCCATCCGCGTCGTGCATGAGCACAGGACAAGATGCCTCACTCGTCAGTACCACCCGGTGTGGCAGACGTTCAGCGGAGTTAATGTCTCCGTGTGGCCAATAACAGTGAATTACGTGATAACCATGCGACTTGAGTGCGGTTATAAAGTCATTTTTACTAGACATTTTTTATATTTTACCAAGTAAGACCCACTCAACTATATCGCTCATTTTTAAAAGCGATGTGGCCACAAATGTACAGCTTAACGAAGTGGCTTATCGTGTTAAAATGCATAGCGGCCACATACTCTAAACTCACGTTTCTAAATGTGGAGAGCAAAACCGGAGGACCCAGAGAAAAATTCACGCGAGCACGGAGAGAGAAAACATGCACACTCCAAATATACAGCAGGCGTCAGGGTCGGGACAGAACCCACGACCTCCTGTATACCAGGCGAGGTAGTTAACATCTCGCCACCGTGGCGCCCCTTGCATTAGCCGTATGTGTTTTCGTGATGTTGTTCATGGATTAAAGCTCTCACGAGCCAAACCCTTCAGGCTCCGTATGTAACTGTGTTCAGTGTCGCATCGATCGAGTGTGTAGGCAGTGAAGCTGCACCATGACCCATGCCAATCCACGCGATACGGCACCGACTGCGTGAATGAGAGTGGTACACGTGTTAGAAGTGCGTTGCGCGACTATCTGACCTTTAGTTTGGGGGGGAAGGGCATTGCCTGCCCTGCGGGGGGCATTGACAGGGTGCATTGGGGTCACAGACTGTCGCAGCGAGAGTTGGATGTCTATCTCTCTATATAACAAATCTGGTGTCGTTCTTCAGAGGATTCGTGTGGAGCTGTGAGCCCCGACCATTTTGGATCCGGACCTCAAATCGAACCGTCACCCATCTACATGTCACCCTCCTCCTCCTCTAAACAAAGTGCTGCTCATTCTTCCCATCCCGTGATCGCGTTCTGGTGGTGGTAGCGTCAGCAACGACACAACACCTTCCAGTCGACGGTGTCGGTGTTGAAAAGGATGATGGTGGCGGTGATAGCCACGACGATGATGACGACCACCATCATCCTGAGTCTGAGCGACCTCCAGATCAGCTCGGCCGCATCTCCTGCATCTCGCCGAACCTCAAACAGCAGCAGCAGCAAGGGCATCGACCCAATCGGCACACTGCACGGAGTCTCACCACCAAAACCAGCAGGAGACATGCACAGCAAGATTCATCATGGCCAAGGGATGGAGGAGACACGCGCCGATGAGGAGGCAGCGGTGGTTCCGGCGATCATCAAGGAGCCGGTCGAGACTTGCCGCGGTTACTACGACGTGATGGGCCAGTGGGACGCACCGTTCGACTGCCGCACCAAGCCCTACACGCACTGCTGCGGCACCTGCGGATTTCGCTTCTGCTGCCAGTACCTGCGCGAGAAGCTGGACCAGCGATCGTGCAACAACTACGACTCACCGGGCTGGGCCGACGTGGAGCAGCACCTGGGCGCCGGCGACGCTCCGGGCACCTTCCCGCACGACAAACACTACCCGCAGCAGGCTGTGGTGCTCGCCGCGTGCGGGGTGGGCGCCCTGCTCGTGGTGGCGGCGGTGTTCGCCGGCATCGGGCTGCGCAAGTTGGCGGCACAGCGGGAGATCGGCAGAGCGAGCAGGTGTCGGAGTGTGAGCGGGTGGTGGCGGTGGTGGTTGCGGTGGTTGCGGGCAGTGCGCCGGGTCATCCCAATAGCATAAGTAGCCACATGCGTGGGCTTAAAGCTTTCGTGACTGCAGGAATTCATATTCTTTTGGGTCTTTCGGTAAAGTCACGTAGATAGGTTCTTTGATTATGAATTCCTGCAGATACTCAAATGAGTAGCTGGTGCGGTGTGTAAACATCGCCACTGGGCGATCGAGGGTGGTGCTGGCCACCCATCCCCTCGTGTGCCACAGCGCCGGCCTTCATCGGAGCTACTCGCTAGCAGCACTTGCTCCTACAGTCTGTGAAGGCTACACGGGGGATCTTTGTCTCTTGTCGTCGTGGTGATCTCCGTAGTGTCGTGGGGGGTTGGAGGGTGCCCAGCCGCCTTCGTGTTGGGGGGGGGGGGGGCAGAAGAATAAGCCACCGAACCCCCCACGGTTGAATTCTTAAAATCATCTCAAATAAATGTCGATATGAATGTGGATGGATTCGTGGTGGTTTAGCGATGGTCGTGCCACGGTTAATTGACAATGGAGCAGGCAGCAGCATTCTGATGTGGAGGCGTCCGGGAGTCAGCCACTGCTCGTACGTGATGATTAAACCCGCGTCTCGAGTGGAGCCAATTGATCATTCTAGATTTGAAGCTTTCGTGACTGCAAGGATTCATATTCTTAGGTTTTTTTCGGTAAAGTCACGTAGGTAAAAATTTAAGTTAATAAAAGTAAAATAAAAATAAAATAAAATCACGACGTTTCGGAGGCAACACAAGCTTCAGTCTTATATTACTTTTATTAATTTAAAATTTTTACCTACATGACTTTACCGAAAAAACCTAAGAATACGAATACCAATTGATCATCCCAGAGCGGTGGGCCTGCAAAAAATTGATCACTTAAAATAGGTTTTTTTTTCTCTCTTAGTTTGGTAAAATTATTCTAAGCTCTGAAAATTAGAAATCCACATGTGAGTGCCATTGCCACGTGGCAAAGGTGTCTAGTTGTGGTTTAAATTTATTTGACGGGATCTCAGAACTAGTCCTGTGATATATCCTATCATGGGCCGTTTTCGAATACGGGGCGATGCACTTCCCTGCATGTGAGAGTTTTCAATCGCACGCCTTGTCCTCTGACCTGATACAATCGACGCAAAAGACAAAAGGACTAATGATACAAATGAGGTGATGGTGATGAAGGTGGTAGTAGCGTGGCGATTGAGATGACATGGTTAGTGATGGAGAGGATGAAGATAATGATGATGAAGCTGATGATGAAAGCAATGAAACTGCTACTGCCGATGATAATCATCATTGTGATGATGATGATGATGTGAAGTCGATAATGTTATTGTTTAAGAAGAACATTGGGGGCGTAACTATACATCTGTGCACCGATGACTAATGCACATGGTTACAATCACAATACTTGCATTGAATTGTTCATGTACACATTGAGATGCATTATCTATTGATATAGAGTATCTCGTAATGTAATGGGGGTCGTGGTACCACCTGTAACGTCTTGTAACCGCTCAAAGAGAATTGATAATGCAATCCAATCACTACCCATTATCAGGAAAGTTAATGGACTCCTCCAGAACAATGGCATTGATGAAGTTACAATGAACCCTCTTTTGTCTCCCCTTGCATCTATCCACCGTGCTCTCCCCCCCCCCCCCCCCAAGGCTCTCGGAGATAGTACAGCGGGAAGGACAACTGGGGATGCAACGTGCAGGGCCTGAAGAAGAAAGAGCAACAGCAGCAGCAACAACCACCTCTGCGGAGTTTGCATGTGGTAGGTTCCAGATTCTCTCCACCTCCCCCATCACTGTGCTCATTAGTGCATCGCACATCTTCCCTTACCAAAGCGAGGGAGAGAGATCGTTTCAACACGTAGTACGTGGCGTCTGAAATGTCCTATTTGACTCATTTGAAAAAAAAAAGATCGTTTCTGGGAGGCTCAACCGGGACACAGGGAGAGGTGGACCGCCCCGATCTGCTTCAACTACGCAGCCTTTCCAAACAACCATGCCACACAGTGCCACCACGTTTGGCAGAAGGGCGGACGTGATGCCATGAGATCTATAGCTCTCCCCCGGTGACGTCACACGTTCGGATCAAACTGAAACAAAACCCGTGTCGGATCGTCCGAAATCCCGTGTTGGGGTCGGTTTTCACGGATTTTTCGGATGAATCCTAAAGCAGGGGACACACCCAGCGTGTGCACTTCTCTGCTGCCACCCACTGACCGCACCACTACGCTAACAACAATGATCATGGTAACAGTGATGGTTACGATGATGATCTGGCAATTATTGCTATTTAAAGCTAAAGTGTGGAATTATGCTTATGCTGGTTATCACGATGATATTGATGACGATGATGATAATGCTGCTGGTACTGCTGCTCTTGCTGCTGATGATGCTAAAGGATAGTGCTTCTTCTGCTGCTTCCTCTGATGATGATAAAGCTGATGCCAATGAAGCTGTTTCTGTTGCCACTGCTTATGATGGTTCTGCTGCTTCCTCTGCTTCTGTCGCTGCTCCTTATGATGATGATGATGGTGACGATGATGATGGTGACGATGATGATGGTGACGATGATGATGGTGACGATGATGATGTTGGTGACGATGATGATGTTGGTGACGATGATGATGGTGATGATGATGATTATGTTGACGATGATGATGTTGGTGATGATGATGATGGTGACGATGATGATGATTATGGTGACGATGATGATGTTGGTGACGATGATGATGATGGTGACGATGACGATGTTGTCCTAGAAACATCGACGCTGGGCACCGCTGTGTATGGAGGAGCGGCGTTCTTTGTGCAGAACGCATTGGCCGGGCAGCACAGCCCCCACCACCCACCCTCGGCCATGCCCCCAATGCCCCCCTTGTCCGTGCCCACCATAGAGACCCTGCTCGCCTCCCCCAAGCGACGCAGGCACAGCGTGTCCTCCATGAACTCGCTCGGTGAGTTTGCATCATCCTTGTCGTCAACATCATCATCATCAGCTGCAGCAACAGCGGCATTAGCAGCATTCTTATCCAAACCATTGCCGTAATCACTATTATCAGCAGTATTATTGTAATTCGCCAAGTCTTCATCGTGATAAGCAGCAGCAGTATACTCCAATATACTCTTAGGTTTTTTCGGTAAAGTCACGTAGGTAAAAAATGAAATTAAAAGTTAATAATGGAAATAAAATAAAATAATAAATCACGACGTGTCGGAGGCAACACAGGTCTCCGTCATCAGGTGGGACCGTCACAGCTAAAATTACTGCATCATTTTAGCTGTGACGGTCCCACCTGATGACGGAGACTTGTGTTGCCCCCGAAACGTGATTTATTATTTTATTTCCATTATTAACTTTTAATTTTATTTTTTACCTACGTGACTTTACCGAAAAAACCTAAGAGTATGAATCCTTGCAGTCACGAAAGCTTCAAATCTAGAATACTCCAATATGTTCGGTGGTGCTAATGTCTCCATGTAGTCGCCAGATATCGGTTTAACGCTGCCGTAACTTAAATCGGAATTGCACCATAATCAGTCTAAAAATAAATCTGCCGGAGCCGAATTAAGCTAACAGCGACTTTATCGCTTGACACTGACTCATGTTTATCCAATATCATCTATTTCTCATGCGACGCAGTTGGGTTTGCTCTCATTTCTATTTGCTTCATTGCTGCGCTTTTTTTTGTTTGCTTTGCTTTTGAAATTTTCGGTAAAAAATAAAATAAATGAAAAAACAACTAAATTAAATCACGACGTTTCGGGCGCAACACAAGCGTCCTTCTTCAGGTGGGGGCAACGTAGCGAAAGCACAACCGCTTAAGTGTGTCTCAGAGATGGCTGTGACGAGGAATTTTATAGTCGCGGGGGATGGAGGGAGGGGGAGGGGCCATGGTGAGTGTGTGGGCGAAACAACCAAAGAGTATGAATCCTTGCAGTCACGAAAACTTCAAATCTAGAATTTGTCATTTTAGTGAACCAAATTAGACTCTCCTGGCCAAACGAGCTCTCGGCTGGCTAGACAAAATACAGTCAACTTGAAACTTACATCATTTCCTTTCCCATCTCTCTCCCTCCTCTCTCTCGCTCTCTCATCTCCCTGCCCACCTCTCTCTCCCCCCCCTCTCTCACCACACAAGACGACGACGATGACTCCAGGTGTCGCCATGAGGGCCGCCGCTCAGAGCGAACAGCAGGAAGGCACCCCGTGATCCAGGCCCTCCCGCGGGCCCCGCACCCCCATCGCCACCAGCAAGCGGCATGCGGGACCCCTTGCAAACTCCGAATGACCAAGATGTATTCGGATCCCGGCGGGTTTCGGTGGCAGGATTCCTCGGCTGGCGCCCAGCCGCCGCAAGACCCCCGTTGGCAGGGTCGTAGGTCTACAACCGTGGACCACAGCACGCAGCAGCTGAACCGAGGGCCGACCCGCACGTATCACTCCACCTACTCAAAGCGAGAGGTCGTCGTGTAGAAGCAGGGGCTCCTACAACTTTAAAACGTTGTTGTAGTTTCCCCCCCGCCTCTCACCCCGAATTGTTATCCCGTTTGTTGCTATCGGCATCGCGCCGTGAAACGAGGAACCCATTGGCATCTCTCGAAGAGGTGTGGCGCAACCGGTTGAGTCGGAGGCTGGTCCGCTGAAGTGGACACCACAGAGCTACCTCTGAGATCCCTTCTTCAGGTGTCCCCCGATTCACACAGTAGAGGGCAGCAATCTGCCACGTTTGAAACACATTCCATTATGAGATCTCTTTTACCAGTGGCAAAATATAGTAGTAGGTTTTTACCCTTTTAAACTGGATTCATAGTGAAAAATTTAGTTTTTACGGGTTAATTTTTTGTTTGATTTTTTGACTACTTGTGTTGTGGTTATTGCAAACATGATGCCTTGAATAAAGGTGTCAGTTTTGTACCAGTTTAAAAGGGTAAAAACCTACTACCACATTCCATTAATTAATTTACCCGACTTGAACCTCAGTCTTTGGGTTTTCCCTTTTGATGCCGTGCGTTGTCCTTCCAGGAACGCGTTATCTGGGTTACTCAAACAAGCGACAGGGTTTCGTTTTTGTTTAAATTGGCCACTTGTTTTGTTTTTGCTGCACAATGAGATCTGTTTTCAGTGCGGTGTATTTTTATTTGACTCGGACGACGTTTCGAGCATTGGCCCTTTTTCATAGAAACTCGGCCAGAGAGAGATGGAATGAATAATACGAGATGGAGACTGCACTTTATTGTATTTGCATTCCTTTGTGACGGTTCTCTGCTAAACTGGCCCCACAGTGTCCGCGTGTTCTTTACCTCCTGTGATCCCAGAAAAACCAACAGCGATTGTTGAACAAGCCACGTCCCTGCTGGTGAGACGTGGAGAAGTTGAAACCTGTACAGGGTTCAATCGACGCTGCTGGAAAACACTGGCTCAGAAGGCCCATAGGCTGATGGACCAAAGTAAAATTGTATTCTATATGTGGGGTAAAAGTGAAGGATTTTTGTCGGCCATGTGGTTAAATCAGATGGACGTGTGTAGATACTGACATGATCTTGTCCCGGTCACCAATAACTGCACAAAAACAACTCCTGTGTTTTTACATAGGTGTATATATATATATGTACGTAGCCTGGCATTTACAGCTAAAGATTAAATTAATGTTGCAAAATGTACGGTTGTAGATGAACCCAATTGCTATTTTAACTGCATGGTTGTAAAGTGTTATGGAGTATAATAATTTGATGTACAGGCACATTGGATTAAAAAAAAAGGTGCATCAAAGAAATAAAGTTTGATTGGCTGAGTGATAAAACACCTCGCTTAACATTTTCCCAATGACGATCTCTGTTAATGTATTATTATTATTATTCAAAGGGCTGTCGTGTTTTTTGGTTTAATAAAGCATCACATAAATGACTAATCTTTAAACAATGTGTGGATGATGATGATGAAAGGGATTTCCTCCAGCTTTCCCCCCCGGGTAAGCCACGATTGAGACTGCCAAGCCCTTGACAAAAACAACCCGGATCTTGCGGCCTCTTTGGATCTTGGAAGAAGCTAAACAGCATGGAGCCTTAATTCTAGATTTGACGCCACACGACCTGCCGCATGCCCCCCCCCCCCCCCCCACGACTCATTGGCTCCTCCCCCCCCCTAGTACCCTATATAACCACGTGTCTCTAAAAAGCTCGCTTTATACGCTACAGTAATTTTGCTGGAGCAGTCACACCTGATGACGGAGGCTTGTGTTGCTTCCGAAACGTCGTGATTTAAATATTCTTAGGTTTTTTCGGTAAAGTCACGTAGGTAAAACATTAAAATTAATAAAAATAAAAAATAAAAATCACGACGTTTCGGAGGCAACACAAGCTTCCGTCTTCAGGTGATTTAATTTAGTCATTTTAATTTTTATTTCGTTTTCACCTACGTGACTTTAACGAAACTAACAAAGAGTAAGCATCGAGCCTGGAAACCCAGTAAACATTGGCATTGAGGTTGGAACGGTTGGACCAAGGTTGGCCCAACGTTTCCCTGTTTAGTGTGGAGTGCCCGGATGGGTGACCATCATGTATAGCGTGAGTGTAGTTTGCTGCGGGGGCTATGATGTTCGGATAAACTTTTGGATGAAACATTTAGCATGGCGCAATTTTATATTTTTATTTTTATTTTGAAGGACAACTTTAGATATATATTTTTCAGGATTTACAGATAATTACCACGACGTATTAATTCAAACGTGCTTACAAAAGTGACGTCATCCGATGCCATGTGACACCAGTTTTGGCGGGATAAGCACACAAAGTGGAGTAATATAAAATCGGAAACAGGACATTATTTTTGGACCATCCGAAATGTCGTATGCGGGCCAGATTATTATTCTGATTAATCTTAAAATCTGGAACACATCCCCGGTATGTTGATAGCAGTGCTGCAATTTCAATGGTTGTACTGTAAATCGATGCTCCCCACCTTCACTCAGTATCGAGTTCGGTCAAATAACCGCCACGACCCGCACGGCGTGGGGATGCCCTCATCCAGCAGTGGATAGAGATGCGGGTTGTGCCCGCTACACGCGAGCATCCACAGGGCAGTGCGGCTTGGGATCGCCCCGTTGGTGAAGGCAGTCGATAGCCGCGTGAGAAATAGACGAAGCCCTGCAGATGAGTTGGGAGGGGGGGGGTTAGTGGGGGGCACACAACACAGTCACCTCCGATTAGCATGGTTGGCTACGTACGGTGTGAAAGACGGCCACCGTACGTACATACAATGTTAAAAAAATAAATAAAAACTTCAACCCAAATGCCAAGCGCTCAACAGATTTGAGCAGCGATTGGATCTGCCCGTGTCTACCGCATTCTGCTTTTATGGCACTCGCAATCCTCCCTGTGTATACAGTGTAATAATTTAAATACCGTCATTCACGCAAATTTGCATCTAAAAAAATCGTACTTTTTTTATCGCCCGCAAAAAAAACATCATAGAAAAATAATTTCAAAAATAACTGAAAAAAAAATGAACAAACCCGACTAAGAGCACGGGGGTGACCCAAGCATGGAGCACGTGGTTCAACATCAAGCACTCACTCACTCAGGCTCCCTACATCCAAGAAAATCCGGGGAACAATGAGAGCGATAATAATAATTGGGTTTCACACAGCGTTACGCATGCACAAAATAACCCTCGCACATATCGGCAATGAGCAGCAGCAGCAAACAAGAGCGTGCATGCGATCTGAATGTTGAAAGGGAGCTGATCTGACGCCCTGTGGCAGGTGAAGTGCAATGGGCTTGCATTCCATGCTGAGCACAAGAACACACATTCACTGATGTTAAATATTTCACCAAATTCTTTTTTTTACTTGGTCGGTGGGGGCCGCAAGGGAGTAGGTTAACCCTTCGTGGGACGGGGTGGGAGAGTTTAACTTAAACCCCTTCCACTTGGGTTGCCAACTCTGAGCTACAATAAAATAAACTAGCGGGACATCGTGCGAGTAAGAATATCTCACAACACCGAGAAAGAGAGAAAGAGCGGATAGCTGCTTGTGAACGTATCGTCTACAAACGGCGTCTTCACACGATGCACGTGAGAAAAACCGGGACTTATTACGTCCCGGGAAGATTTTTAAAGATTTCCCATGATGACAGCACTACCACCGCATCAAGCGGAGGGTCCTGGGAAACCCAGGACAGTTGGCAACCCCTACCCGTGGTGGCTATGCAGCCGGATGGATGATGAATAGAAGAGTCAGATAATTCAGGGGGGTACCAACAAGAACATCAGGATAATCCGACTCACTCTCACCACCGTCGCTCAAACATCACCATCCGCATCGCGGCATTCCCTCGACCCCGAGCGATTCCGCTCCGTTCCAGCAGAGGTCACAGCAGACTGCGCTATGGCGACGTTGGAGTTTGATCACCGCGGTTTGCGCGTTTAATTCCTCGCGCTGCAACGCGGCATTACGTCCCCAACGCAATGATCCCGACCGATGAAGCAAATGTGAGCCCGACGCGACAGACCAACAACAAACGCGAACTTCACCTAAGAGTTAATCAGCTTTTAAAGTAACAAAAAAACGTAACGACCAAATGTGAACACTGCATATTCTCTCATATTTCGATTTAAAGCTTTCGTGACTGCAGGGATTCATCTTCCTGTTCTTTCGGTAAAGTCACGTAGAATGGAAATAATAAAATAATAAAAATAAAACATTATAAATATTTTATTTTATTTCGATTTAAAGCTTTCGTGACTGCAGGGATTCATCTTCTTGGTTGTTTCGGTACCGAAAGAACTAAGAAGATATTTTATTTTATTATGTTTATTATATCGATTTTTTAATTATTTTATTATTTCCATTCTACGTGACTTTACCGAAAGAACCAAGAAGATTCTCTCATTTTCTTTACAGGCGTTTTTGTTGCTGTGAAATATTCTTGCTCAATTCAGGAAACGTTTCGACTCTCCTCTTCATTTTCAATTTTTGCAGTTTCATTTATTAGGTACTATAGCCCTGTGAGCCATGCGGCTCTTGAATCTGGGTGCAACCGCAACTAACAAAAAACATGAACAAAGAAACATCTTAAAGTGACTACCCGCAATAGAAAAAATCCAGGAAAAAAACAGCAAAGTGTTCCAGCAAAGTCTTTAACAGCGCTGACTGTCGCTGGCTGCTTGGCTGTTCCTGGGCTTGGGGGCTATGCTGAGCGACCGCGATTCAATAATAAAAAAACAATTAATTAGAGCTCAGCTCGTGGGCTGCCTCGATGCCAGGTCGCCCTCTTTGTGTCGGAGTGGGGGGGGGGTCAGAGACTTTTGTTTTGTGGATGTGCGAGGAGAGAAAGGCACGAGGCACAGGAGAGCTGTAAGCGCACAGGGCCCTTTGGGGTATTCTTGTGACGCATCCATTGCACGGCGCAGATGTTGGAATCAACCCCGTCAGCAAAGCGTGCAGGTTAATTACTCTCCCGCAAGCACGGCGCTTTGCCTACACGCCTCTTCCACCTAATCGTCTGAGGTTTCACCAAAACAAATGGAACACTGGCGAAAGGTAATGCTCATTAGTGAGCGATTTGTGCAAAATAAGCACTCGCATGTGGTTAAGATATCGCGGATATTTTGGGGCGCATCGAAAAGCCATAAACACGGAGTGATATCGCAACAGTGAGCAACATCGAACACTGAACGCAGTCGTCAATACCACTGCCGTTAAAGATACAAATAAACCCAAGAGGCGATATTTCTGGTTCTTTCGGTAAATTTACGTAGAAGGGAAATAATTAAATAATACAAAATAAAATTATCACGACGTTTCGATTGCAACGCAAGCAATCGTCATCAGGTGTGAAACCCACAGCAAGAATTTTTTTAAAAAAAGCTTAAATCGAAAAAAGAATCCAATAGGCGATGTTGCGAGCAATGGCCATAGCACGGTTCTCTAACACCAACAATGTCCAGCCCTTTTAGTTGAGGTGGTGTCACAATGTGTGTCGTAAACCCTCCGCCACCCGACACACAGCCAGTTAATAAAAGTGTCCCGTGAATCAAACGACAGCCAAATTATTTCTGGTTCAGCAGCACCACCGGTGTTTGTTGCTGCTGCTGCTGTTGGAAAACGATCTCACAACATTCACATGTTGTGAGATCGTTTCGCTGGAGATGATTACAGCCAGCGTCATCACGATCTCTGGATCTAATGTCGGAGTTGTTTGACCATACTTCACCATGCTGGTCAGTGCGGGCTGGTGAATGTGGTGGGAGGGAACGCGGGAGAGGTCCGTTTCGAAAGTCGTCGAGCAATGCGATGGAGGAAGAAGAGCGAGAGCGGTGAGGTGACCTGCGGTGAGGTGAGTGAGTGGGTGAGTTGTTGTTGTGCGGTCGAACACAGTGCGATGATGGCTGAGACAAAACGGTGCCTGGCAGACAGAGTCCTCAACATGTGCGGAGTGAAGTTCACGAGAACAGAAACGACACGGAGTGTGGTAGCGACGAAGGAGTGAAAATCAGTCGACTGACCGGCGGAGAGCCAGTGGCTGAAGGTGAATCGGTGCCAGCTGGATAACACTTCTGGCAATCCAGCTGCCTCCCACACCAATAAATGTGATCCAACCTGATAAAAAAAATGATTTGGCCAAATCACCCCGAGCATGACCCTCCTGCAAATGAGTCCTGAAAGCTCAGGATTGTCTTGGCTAAAGGCAGTGAGTGCGTGTATGGTGCTGGTACAGTGCAACGCCCTATTGGGAATTCTTACACCGCA